AGCAAATTATCCTGTGTTTTAATCCCACTGTTTAATGGTTATCAAACAGACAATCAGACATGAGCTGATTCTATCTTTGCCTTCAGTGTTTTAATAAATATCTGCCAAATAATAGCAAATTATAAACAAAATCCATTGCAAAACCCAAACCTTGACAGAGCCCTGTGTATCAGGACGTGCTGAGGACCCCACCCAGCCCAAGGGAACTCTTCCAGCTGCAGCTGAAGGGATCACCAAAGCTGCAGCTTGGCACAAAAAGCCTTTCCTTGGCTCTCAATGGCTGCAGGAGGCATCGACCCCCTGGTTCGGGGCATGGTGGTGGATCACGCGAAGCTGATGGAGCAGAACCGACTTCTGGTGGAGGAGCTCCAGAACCACCTCTTCGAGCAGACAGAGGTCATGGGGCTGGATTTGGCAGCCATGAACATGCAACGGGGAAGAGACCACGGCCTGCCAGGTAAGGAGGCACAAACCCACACCTGCTCTGAACAGTGCTCTGTTTTCTCCCGCTGTTTATAAGCAGTTCCGTGAATGGACTGAGCTTTTCCCGTGCCTGTGGGAAGAAACAGTGCCTGGGTTTAAGGGTGAAGGGTGGGTAGACAGGCAGATTCAGGGAATAAAAGGTCTGCGTTATAAAATTTTAAGACAAAGACAAAAGGCTTGGAAATAAAAAAAAATGATAGTTGGGGTAAAGTAATAAAGAGGGGAGACACAGTGGTGCATTACAAAGAGGGGACATGTGGGGTACAGAAGGTACAGACAAGTGACCAAGTTCAGCTTTCACATGGCCTTAGATAGGTCACCAGTGCTTTGTTCTTCACCCATCAGCGCTAATTTGGTGCCTCCTGACAGCCCTGGGCTCTGAGCAGAAGTGACCTCAGGTATGACTGCCCCAGGTGCTCTTGAGTGAAGCACAACCAAATGCTGCTCTTTTCCAGGACTTTGACCCCAGAAATTTTGCCTCCCAGAGCTGCAAGGACCGGTGCGCTCCCCTTCAGCACTACAGAGCTCTTACCCACGGGGTGAACCTGTAGTCACGAGGACAACCCAAACTGTTAGTTGAGTGTGTAGATACAGAAAGGACCTTTGAAAACGTTGTGACTTCCTAGCCATAAGCATCTTCCAGCTCCTTTAATGCCATGAGCAGAAGCAGACATTGCTCATGGACCACAGGGTCCTGAGCCAGGGCAGATGGTGGGGCGCTGGGGTGGTGGGTCCTGGTCAGCTGCTGCTCCTGCTCTTGCAGGTTACAATGCCTGGAGGGGCTTCTGTGGGCTCTCCCAACCCCGAACTGTAGAAGAACTCTCTGAGGTGCTTGGCAATCCCAAACTGGCCAAGAAGTTCCTGGATGTGTATGGGACACCGGACAACATCGACCTGTGGATGGGGGCAGTCGCAGAGCCCGTGGTCCCCCAGGGCAGGGTGGGACCCCTCCTGTCCTGCATCATTGGCACCCAGTTCAGGAACCTGCGGGATGGGGACAGGTGAGAGCCAACATTTCCTGGGGCATTTATCAGGGGGGAAAACACTGACATTATTCCCTCCCAGTGCTCCCAGCAAGGCTCACTCCTTGGCTTTAGCCCAGTTGCCAAAGGACTCATTTTTGCAGCCCATTACTCCAGATCCATGTGGCTGAGGAGCAGCAGCCCCAGACCACAGGAGATCTGCACTGATCTCTGCCTGAGGTGAGGTTTGCTTTCAGGGCACAAAGGGGAGGATAAATCACTGAATCCCAGCAGCCTGGAGATGCTGCATGGAAGATCTGGCCACAGTGGAGACACCTCTTGCCAAAAGGCTGTGCCTTCTGCCTGGTGGATCAAGGTGGTTCTGAGCAGAGACTCACCCTGGTCAGGTCCCACCTTGGCAAGTAACCAAAGAGCATGAACTTCTTCTGAGAATATCCTTGCAGGTTCTGGTGGGAGAACCCGGGAGTTTTCACTCCACAACAACTGCGAGCACTGAGAAAAATCACACTGTCAAAAGTGTTCTGTGACAACACTCGTATCCAAAAGATACCCAGGGATGTGTTCAGGATCAACAGTTACCCTGAGGACTTCACTGACTGCCAGGAGATCGACGCGCTTGACCTCTCGCCCTGGGAAGATGAACCTGAGAGTGGCACAAAAGGTACCAGTGGTCTGAGGTCTGTCAAAAATGATAACTGCCCTACAATGTCTCTTCCATGCTTCAAAAATTCAGAGAATTAAGGTTGCCATGGTGACTCTGCCCCCTCAAAAGATGAGTGTCCATTCAGCTGCGCTCGGACAGCACTGGAGGCAGAGGTGCTGTTGGCTGGGTCTCCATCCCTTTCATCACGCTTTATTAACCTGCCTCTTCCTGTTCAAGTAGATGGAAAAATCCCTGAAAATCCAGTCTGTTCTGGCCCTTGTGAATGTGTCCTTCTCTAATAAATTCCAGGATAACCATAGTCTTACCTCACAGGAAGGGCATCCATGAAAGAAATCAACTGGAATTAGTCAGCCTGCTCCAAATTCTCACTCTGCAGCTCCAAGTCCCTGCCGTCCCCTTGCTTTCCCTAAAAGCATTTTAAGGTCTATCTGGAGCAGCTTTGACACTGTGTGGCCTCACACACCAGCAGTTTAACACACCCAGTCAGAGATGATGATGTGCCACGGTAAAACAGGGTCTTCATCTGAGGGACGTGGCCACTCCCCGTGTCCTCCTACATTTACACTTCTGCCACAGGCTCTCCCAGCTGAAAATGATGTGGGAGAACAGAGACTTGCAGAGTGGATTAGGGTTTTTTTTTTTTTTCCTTCTGGAAACCCATTTATAGATGATTACAATCCCTGGGGATCACCTGCTTTTTCCTTCTGCAAGGCACAGACCACGAAGCATCTCCAGGCAGTTCCTGCGTTCAGTTTGAGTAATGATTTGAGGGAAACACTGTTGTTTAAAACAGATATCTGCACTTGAGGTAAAGGCTAAGTTATGGTGACTTCACCCCATTCTTTAGGAACTGAGTCCAACTTACCTTCTCTCCAAACAATATTGTCTCATTTCTTTTATTATCACTGTCCTATGGTCACTAAAATGTGCTGAGCTGCTTCCTGTGGTTCTTTTATCACCAGTCCAGGAAGAAGTTGAAGTGTTTTCATAACCTGTTTTCGTAACCCAGAGAGAGTGAAATTCCAGGGTGCAAAAAAAGCAGCTGCTAAAACTTTAACCTTCTCAAGCACCGAGAAATTGCCCCCAACCCCCTCATCCTGAGGGCTCTCTGATATCACCGCAGGCACCTGTTCACAAGGCTGGAAGCCCCTCAGTCTCAGAGCTGCAAGGATACAGGGATGACAAAAATGTGGGGGAAAATAGTGTGCCCAGGAAGAACTTGCTGCCTCTCAGCAGCTTTTTCTGCTTCATTGACAGATTCTAGTCCTGCTGCTCAAGCCAGAGTTGTAAAACCCTGATGGTGGCACTGAGCTGCTTCTGGGAGACTCCTGCCTGGCCATCAGGCTCCAGTGGCTGCTGTCGACTGAACCTCAGCACGTGGTTTCCCAGAGGGGAGCTCAAGGCTATGGCTACTGTTTTATTTCCTGTAATGTGATTTTAATACAATTTTTTCCCCAAAAACTTCCAGTAATGTAAGCCTAAAGATGGAAGGGCACTGACATGTTATTTTCTGTTGCACTAAAAAAATTGATCAGAGGTTTTATGACTCTCTAAAAACATAATTAAGACAAATTTTACACTTCCCATCCTGGAGGGGTGTCAAACCCGGAGGCTTGGCGTGCTTGCATTTCAAAATCAAATTTCTTTTCCTTTGTACCTGCTCAGAAATTATCAAGTTCATGTAACCTTCATCTAAACCTTCCTAATCGCCTTTTGCGCAAGAGCAAAAGCTGTGTTGGCTGATTTTGATCAGCAAGATTTCAGTCTCTGAAGAGACCAGAGTCTTGAAGCCTAGAGACAACTTTTATTTAAATCCTACAGTGGACATGTGTGGTTTGGGTGTTCTGGGCAGTAATAAAACACATCCTGTGCACTCATCTCCATGTGGCATCAATGACAGGTTGGGGCAGAGTGGTTGGAAAGCTGGAAGAGGACCTGAGGTTGTTGCTCAGCAGAGGCTGAACAGGAGCCCAGGTGTGTCCAGGTGGGCAAAAAGACCAAGGGCACCTGGCTTGGATCAGAACCAGAGTGGCAGCAGGACTAGGGCAGTGATTGTCCTTGCCTGCTTGGCACTGGTGAGGCCACACCTCAAATCCCGTGTCAGATTAGAGGTTCACCTCTAAACCATGTCCAAAAGCACCACATCTACACATTTTTTGAACACTTCCAGGGATGGTGATTCCATCAGGGCATGGGAAGGATATTAGTCAACATATCCCTGCTGGTTGCCTCTGCTTTCTGGGTCCCCAGGCATGTTCCTCTCACACTTTCAGGATCCGCCCAACCACCGAAGGCAAAATCTTGCTTTGCTTAAAAGGAAGGCTAAAAACCCCAAAGAGACCACCAAGCCCTGCAGACGTGTAAGGGCTTTAATTCCCCTCTCCCAAAGCTGCCTTGGCTTCCTCCCAAATCCTCCCCATGGAAAAGGTGGGAGACAGTGCCTTCTCCTGGGTGTGCTTCCAGGGAAGTGGGGCAGCCCTCCAACCACAAGGCAGCCACTTCCTCAGGCAGGATGGCCGCAGGCTTGGGATAAATGTCTCCACCTTGTTGGCTCTGGATAGGAAAAGGGGATGATAAGCAGGCAGTGATGATCCCAGGAAGGGCCTGGCTCTGCTTGGGGTCCAGTTGGAGGGATGTTCCCATGGTTATGAGGACAGGAATATCCAGCTGCCTGTTGTGTCCATGCAGGTGGCACAGTTCCCCAGAAGGAAGGTGGCAAAACCCTCTCACCACCTCCACTTGGAAGCTTCTCCTCCTTGGTGGACCTTTAAACCGTCTCTGGTACATCAGCGTTGCAATCCACGCCTGTCTCTGCTGCCAGACCTTCCTGTGGCCTCCCCCTGAGCTGTGGCACACACAGCTGGAGCTGGGAGAGGGGATCACTGATGGGAAGCTCCGTTTGTCATTCCTGATATCCCCTGGTAGGTGGTGAGCATGGAGTCACGGACCTGCTCGGTCAGCTTGGGGACATCATCCGGGCCCAGGCCGAGGGTCTCCACTTCTGGCAGGATCTGGATGATGAGGCTTCCTGGAAGAGTGAGGCAGGAGGGTGAGAGAGGGGTGGTGTAGAAAAAGCAAGAGAAGGTGCAGCGGGAGGATTGGTGCCTGTCAAGGAACAGGAGAGAGATGAAGGGAAACGCCCTCGTTCACACCCCGAGAGGGGTGTGGGAACCCAGCCGTGGCACAGGAGCACACAGAAAAAACCCACACCAGGCTTTTTTCATCCACAAGAATCACAAATACACAAACAGGTGAATCTCTGCTCCAATCCAATGCCATGCTTCACATAGAATGAGTTTGCACAGTGCAAAGAGCTCAGGGTTTGTCAGGGTGGCAAGGAGAAGGAGATGTGAGCACATCCAAACTGGCCACGCTCTGATCTGTGTACACCAAATCCAGCAGAGTCCTGCCTTCCAGCAACAGGCTTTGGGATGAGGGAAATTGCACCCAGGTCTCCCTGGTGTGTCAGACTCCTCTGGGGAATCATCCAAGCTATGGACTGGTGCAAACTGGAAGAATATACTGAGGAGATGTCATCATGTTCTTCTGCTCTGGCATCAGAGGTCTTTGTTCCAGCCAGCAGAGACAAGACAGTGCCTGCACAGACACCAGACACCCACCTGGGGTTCTGGGGAGTGTTTTATAATGTTCTTGCATGTCTTTACATGTGTACCAGGAATGAGATCCAGCAGTGCTGGAAGCAGAGCCGTGTGAAGGAGGCAAAAACAAGCACAGAGAAGAGTTTCACAACAGAAAAGGTTATGTCAGGTTGGACGGGGCTTGGAGCAACCTGGGCTAGTGGAAGGTGTCCCTGCCCATGACAGGGGGTGGAACAAGATCATCTTTAAGTCCCTTACAACCCAAACACTTATCCTGTGATTCTGTGCTCCTTGCCTGCACATCTCCCACCCAAAGCCAGGCTGGCTCCTCGCTTCACTTGGCCCTACAGAAAGGGCTGAGTGATGATGGGGCTGTGCTGAAAATTCAGGTCTGTTGGGGCAGAGGAGACTTCCAGCAAACACCAAACATGCTTCATGAAACACCAGGCACGGAGTGTGGCTTTCCAGGGGCTCATCAGCACACCCAGAACCTCTGGGTGGGCACAGTGAGCTGGCCCAAGGACCAGCCTGCTCTGTGTGCAGGAATCTGGAGCACGTGCAGCACATCTTCAGGATGGCAAAACTTGGGGGAGGGAAAAGTGGGAAAGTGCAAGAAAAGCTGACTGGGGGTTCTGTCTCCAGCAGCAAAGGTCCTACCTGTTTAACAGCCACTTGGGAAAGGGCTCAGAGGTCAGTAAAACATGGGATTAGAGGCCAACTATCCATGGGATTAGAGGTCAACAACTAACTATGAACTCCCAGGGTGAGGGAAGTTGCTATAAAGGCAAATGTTCACGCAACTGCAAAGAGTCTTTCCTAAAAAAGCTCAGGGAATTTGTGGAATTTGTGGAATCTCCATCCTTGGGAGTTAATCCAGACTTGTCTGGACAAGGCATAAAGCAAACTCAGCTGTCTTTAGGTTGGCCTTGCTTTGAGCAAAAGGTTCAGGTGCTCCAGGGCCCCCTCCCCACTGTGTGACTGTCTGACTTCCCAGAGCAGGGCTCTGAGCAGGGCTGTGGTGGGGAGGAATCCCTGCTCTTGGTCCTGTCAACCCCCAGGTGGGGGAACATTTCCAGTCCCAAAAGGTTTATGGGTGTGAGGAACAGAGAGAGGATGGACCCAGCAGGTGAAGGGTGAGGGGAACCAGTCAGTGCAGTGTTTATCATTCTCCCTGCCAGCTGCCTGTGAGGGAATGACCACACCCAGGCACAACAACGGCAGGAATGAGAATTCCAGATGCAAATCCTCCCCTCGGGAAACAGCAGGGCTGGCCTGGGGAAGGGAGGGAAGTGGCAGAAGCCCATTTTGGGGCGGGCAGCAGCAAAGGGAGCAGAAGAACAGGATGGAATGCTTTTCTCTCTCGGAATTTGTGACCTTTTTTTCTGCATTTTCCTTCTGAAACCCAAGACTTGTGCCATTTTTTTCCCCCCATAAAATTCCATCAGCAGAAATTCTTGTTGCCACAAATGGATGAAACACGGCTACTGGGGGGGTCACACATTCTCAGGGTGGCTTCTGGTGAGAGCTCCACGTTTGTTTTTGTTTCCCAATTCCCCAAGAACCCGAGGGCAGAGTGGTGGGGCTGGGGCAGGACCTGCCCCAGGACTCTGTTGCTTCTCCAGGTTCCCTCACATTTTCCAAGAAATCCAAGGGGAGAGGCAAAAGTGATGCCTGAAATGTCCCTTTTCCCACCAAGAAGACACAAAGTGCTGTTTCCAAGGGCTGTGCCCTACCAACACCCAGCCCCTTCTTTGTCCCAGATCATCCTCACCTGGGGTGAATCTCTTCTCCTTCTGGTTGTAGAAGCTGTTGTAGGAAGAGAACACTACAGGAATGATGGGGACCTGGAAAGGAGACAACCTACAGTGAATACACACATTTACAGGGAATATTCATATTTACAATGAATTTTCACCTTTCCCCATCCATCTTCCAAAATGCAGCTGCTGTTTTCAGGTGAATTCTGCACCTTGCTGATAATTATCACTGTCAGCTTCACAGCAGATATTCTGAGGGTTACTGGGGATACTTAGATCATTTAATTGTATCACCCCATGTCCTCACCGTTGGGTTTCACATTTTCATCTCTGTATTTAAGCCAACAATTGTGGATTGGCAAATTAGGATGTGCAGGGACCGGCTCAGCAGAAACTTCCCTGGGCAGGTCCAGGGCTCTTGTCAAGCTCCCCCCCCCCCCACACACACTTTTTTTTCCCAAGCTGTCAGGAAGGTTTTCCACTTTACCCAGAAACAGCCCCCATCCTGTGCCACCCACAAACTCCTCATGGGCTCCTGGGCATGCTGGATCCCTGGGGAAGCCAGGAAGGTGGTCTCACCTGTGCTTTCACAGCCAGCTGGAAGGCCCCCCGTTTGAAGGGCAGCATGGAGCCGCTGTGGTTGCGAGTTCCCTCGGGGAAGATCAAGATGCGCAGCTGCGGGAGGGAGAGGACACTGAGATGGAGGCACCTCCAGGTGACCATCTGAGCCGCCACGATCCCCTGGGACTGCTCTGTGTGCTCCTGACCCCCTACTCCGTGGACACTCAACGCACTGAGCCCACCAGGGATGCTCTCACCGCGCTCTGCTCAGCGCCCAGCCCGGCGCCAACGATCCCTCTCCACCCGCGCCAAGGCTCACGTCCTCCAGAGGCTCCTCCTCCCCACTCACGTTGTCCTTGTGCAGGGATTGGGCCACCTCTGTCAGGGTTTTGATGGAACCCTCCTTGTCCTTGCGGTCGATGAAGATGGTCCCCACCAGCCAGCACGCCAGGCCGAAGGTGCCCATGTACAGGATCTCCTTCTTGGCAACGGGCACGCAGCGGCGTGGCAGGATGTCCAGCAGCACTGCAAGGGGGCAACAGGGGCAGGGCAAGTCGTCATCTGCACTCAGGGTTGCCCTAAGTACTGGGTTACTGCCAGTTACAGTACAATGGAAATCAGCCCTGCCTCTGCTATCCTGGAGAACAGCCCTGCCTTTAATACCCTGGAGATCAAACCTGCTTCAATACAATGGAAATCAGCCCTGCCTCTAATACTCAGGAGATCAGCCCTGCCTCTGATACCCTGGAGATCAAACTTGCCTTCAATACTTAGGAGATCAGATCTGCATTTATACCCTGGAGATCAAACCTGCTTCCATACAATGGAAATCAACCCTGCCTCTGCTATCCTGGAGAACAGCCCTGCCTTTAATACCCTGGAGATCAGACCTACCTTTAATACCCTGGAGATAAACCTGTCTCTGACACTCTGGAGATCAGACTTGCCTTTAATACCCAGGAGATCAAACCTGCCTGTAACAACCTGGAGATCAGCCCTAGCTTGGGGCTGGTTGGTAAAGAACTGTGTAACAGCCACTCCTGCCCCTCTGCCTGTGGTACAACCCATCCCTCCAAACCCCTGGGGCCAGGATCAGGAGGCAGCATCAGAACATACCCATAATGTCGAGGGAGGTCTGGTGGTTCAGCACCAGCACATAAGGTTTCTTAGTCCTGAAGTTCTCCTTGCCCTTCACCACTATCTGGATGCCAAAGATGTATTTGAGTGGCAGGACCAAAGTGCGAAAAATCCTGGAAAAGAGGAGTGGACATGAGGCAAAGGGATGCTGAAATTTGGATAAAAGGACCGAACACTGCTCATCCAAACCATCCCACCTCAGGTAGTGCTCCTGTTTCTCCACAGACCCAGATCTGACCCAACACTTGGAGAAGAGCAATTAGTGTGCCTCTGCAGCTTATCATTTCACCTGCCAGGTTTCCTTCCAGCCATACAAGACCAATAGCCCAGCAACCACAGCTGCAGAAATTCCATGGATCAACCAAACAGTAGATAATATCCCAATTCACAGCACACCTTTGTACTCTTTCCCTGCCCACCTTGCTGAATCAAACACAGGCTGCAATAAACTGTGCCTGACTCTGCTATTGCCCAGAGTGTGGAGATAGAGAGGTTTGCCTCTAGGGGACATCAGGCTGCAGTTCTGGGAGTAATATTTTAAGAGACATTGGTAAAATGAAATAAGAAAAAATAATGAAAAGTAAAGAAGTGAAGAAAATTTTTCAAAGCAAGAGGTTGATGCTCAGTGAGGAGATCTGGATTCCCACTGGAGCACAGGACAATTCCAGAGCCAATCCTGCCTCTGCAGCTCTTCAGGAGGGTACAAGACTTACACTGGCATGTACCAGAGTCAGTCCACCCCCCCCCACCAAGTTCCTGGTGCCCACCCTGCTGAGGTGAGTGACTGCCAGAGCTGGGGACACCGCTGCCATTGCAGTGGTAGGGACACCAGTGACAGTGCAGGTGCCAGCACTGCACTGTGGCAGTGTCTGCTCATGCGCACTCAGGTGGGCACTGGCTCACAAGAGAGCTGAGAAAGAGAAGAGCATCTGCAGTGGCTTTCATAACACAGCCTGGGAAGGGAATGGTCGGCCATGGGGAGGGAAATATAGCTCCAAAGACCAGATAAAAGAGTTTTAATACAAACAGTGACTTACTTTACCTGTGCATTCCATCCAGGTCGTTGGCATGACCTACTTTGGCAAATCTATGTCACCGTTTACATCCTCTCCCTCAGTAATTTGTCATTTGTTCCATCAACCCCAAACCAATATTGAAAGTCACACCCTTCCACTGAATGACAGGGTCTGTCATCTCCCCACACCAACATACAACTAATTCCTCCCCACCACAGCCCAGCTCCCAGGACCCTCCAAAGCAAAGCACTGGACAGACTGGACTCTATCAGTGCCCAGAGCAGAGGGAAGCCACGGCCAACTTACCTCATGTTCTCCACATTCCGTCCCCGAGGAAGGCTGAGGATAACAACCCCAATGCTTATGGTGAAGAACCACAGCTTATAGAAGGTCATCTTGCAGAAGAATCTGAATGCAGGTTTCACCTGGTAAAGGACTAGAAACAGGATGAACAGGCAGGTAAATGGGTAGTGAAGGAGGAAAAACTCCATCCTTCCAGTCCCGAGCGTGTTCACCGAGCGGGGAACGAGTCACCGGCTCCGGGTGTTGTGGAGCAGAGTTGAGACTCCCTGGATCAGCTACATGTGGGTGGTGCAGAGCTGGAAGGAGGTTTGGGAGCGATGCTGCAACAAGGCTGAACTCCCTGCTCAGAGCTCAACTCAGCGTGGAAAGCCGGTTTAGCAAGGACACACCGGCAGCTCCGGGTAGGAGTTGGGTGGCAGGAGGGGCAAACACGCAATAGCAAAGGTGCCTGGGGGCAAGGGCTGGGTGAATCTGGGCTGGCACATGCCTGGAGAGCCAGCCCCACTTCGGGGGGGCTCTGGGAAATGGGAACCCTGAGGACTTTAAAGAAAATCTCTAATGGGAGGGAGCAGGATGTGTCAGACAGCACAGACCCTGCCCAGAGGCACTGTGGGTTTAGATGGGACACTGGGAATAAAACCTTCCCTGTGAGGGTGGGGAGACACTGGCACTGGTTACTCAGAGAAGCTGTGGCTGCCCATAAATCCCTGAAAGTGTCCAAGGCCAGGCTGGATGGGGCTTGGAGCAACCTGAGATAGCGGAAGGTGTCCCTGCCCATGGCAGGGATTGGAATGAGATGAGCTTTAATGTCCCATCCAACCCAAACTGTTCCATGATTTTGTGATTCTGTAACCCCAGGCTGTCTCACCTGAGCTTCACCAAATGAGCTGGCTGCAAGGAGATGTCCAGGAGATCAGAAATTATTATTGAGGAGACAAAGGGAAATTACCATGGAGAAGACAAAGGGAAAACTGGTGATGCAAACACCACACATCCAGACATCGGAGGGACCGGGCTGAGCAACTGGACATTCCTCCTGTAGAGTGGGAAAAGTGGGAAAAGGGCCACAAATCCAGACTAGAAGATACAAAAAGCAAGAGCAGTTCCTCCTGAGGTTTCCATGGCCAGAGGCAGGCAGATGCTCAGGCAGTATTTAAATAAAGGAGGGAGTGAAGCAGGAAAATGCAGGTTTAACCTGGGACTGCTCCATCTGCATTTCATCTCCTAAAACCGCTGCCTGGAAAGGACCTTACAATAGATGGAATGGCTGGGCTGGAAAATAAACATTGTGAGATTCATCATCTGCATGACAGGTCTTGCTCTAGAACTTCAGAGGAGCAACAATAATAAATAATTAATATTTTATGACATTAAATTCCAGCCAGGACCGAAAGCTGCAGATTCTAAAAAGGAAATGCTCCAAGGACCCATGAAATCACATTGACCATCACCTGCACCCAAAGAACAGGGTCAAACCCTCCAGGACAATAAACTGGGCAAGACTGAGTGGTATTTCATTAAGAAACATGATGATACAGAAAGGCATTGCCCTCTGCTCCTGTGGCTAATCCAGGGACCATTCTTCTCCTGCCTTTCACGGACAAACTGGAGGGGAGTGACTGCAGCCTCACTGCTCAGCTCTCCCAGGGCTTCCCTGCAACCACAGCAGAGGCAGCCAAAGGTTTTCCCGCAGCCTCTGCACTGTCCCTGCCCCAGCACATGGAAAAGACAAACATCCCACAGCACTGGGACCCTCTGTACAGGTGCTGCAGGAACCAGCTCCTTTTGGAACTGGGTTATAAAGAGAGCAGCCACAGCTGCTTTGGGCTTCTCCAAGGTCTGACCCAGCCAACTCTTCCCTTCCAAATGCTGTTAACATCTCCTGTATCTCATCAGGATAAATTATAGCCTTTTGCAATTGGTGGAAGGTTGATTTGGTCACAACTGGTTCATCCTGACCTGCCAGGAGAGAGGTTCCTAAAATGTAACCCCCGTGAAAGGAGTGCAGGGATGGCAGTGGCTCCCAAACCAAGCTGTGTTCAGGTTGCTGCTGCAGGAGAAAGCTCTGACACAACCCTGCACACCCAAACCCATCCAGATATCTGTGGCCAGGGGAGTGTGTGAGCTCACAAACTGCTGAAAAGCTTCAAGTCACTGACAGCAATTTTCAAAGACTTTCACAGTGTCACAGAAACATTAAGGTTGGAAAAGACCTCCAGGATCATCGAGTCCAACCTGTGCCTGATCCCCACTTTGCCCCTCAGCCCAGAGCACTGAGAGCCGCCAGGGAATCCTCCAGGGATGGGGACTCCACCACCTCCGTGGGCAGCTCATTCCAGTACCTGGCAACCCTTCCCATGAAGAAATTTTCCCAGTATCCCACCCAAACCTCCCCTGGTGCAGCTTGAGGCAATTTCTTCTCATCCTGTCCCTTCTTCCCTGGGAGCAGAGCCTGATCCCCCCCCCAGCTCCCCCCTCCAGTCAGGGAGTTGCAGAGAGCAAAGATCTGCGATCTGGGGCTTCCAGGAGCTGGGGAGTGCCTCTGCTGGGAAAAGCCAAGGGCACAAAGCAATAATAAAAAACTGTGCCATTCCCAATTCACCATGGAGACATCGTGAGCTCAGATCTGACACAACATTTGGGCTCCAAAGCCACAGGCACCAAAATCCTCAGCTGTAAATTTGCTCTGTCGCAAACATCCCCAGCACCTGCATCCGCCCCCACTGCCATTTCAACAGCAGCTCTTGCCTAACCTGCGAGGTGTTTTCTGAAACTCCAGCTCTAACGTAGCTCCCAGTTTCCAGACCAAGTGTATCCATGCCCAGTTAACTCCCTTTTGCCCCTGGGTCTTTGCACCTTTTCCAGAATCTGGCTGAAGTGAAGCTGAGATAGGGAGAGGAGGGACTCGCTCACACCGTGAGCTTTCATCACTCAGCTTTAATGACTCTCCTACTCCCCAGCTCTGCTCAGCCACACATTGGCCAGGAGTGAGAGGAGGAGGCAGGGAAAGGGATCTAATCTGATGGAAAAAGGCAAAGAAAACTGTCTTGTTCAACATAAGCAAATGAAGGCTCAAACCAAAATGTAATTGTCCCTGGGAGGGATGAGCGGGATGGACTCAGGATGAACATCCAGCTCTGAGCTGCAACAGCTGCAGGTGGGAAACAAAGTGAGTGAGAGGCCCTGACAGAGCCAGGAGGGAGAAGTGAAATTCTGAAACCTTCAGCAGAGGCTGAGCAGGACAAACAATCCCATCCCAGCTCCTGCAGGATGAATCCCCCACCTCAGCGGCTCCACCAGCCCAGGCAGACACGTGCTAGGCACCCCTTGGCACAGCCCCCCTCCTGCTGAACCAGCATTGCATGGGTTTGATCAGGCAGTTCGATCAAGTGGATAAACCAGATCAAACTGCCCAAATTTCATCTTTGTGTTTGGCTAAAACTGCGAAAAATGGCCCCCTGTGCTTAGTGCAGACCCAGGGATTGTGGGTGGGTTTGAGCCACTTCCTCCCCCACTGGGGAACTGCTGAAGTCAACAGGTAATGAGTGAGACCTCCTGTGTCCCCGAGGGGCTGAGCAGACACAGGTGGGTGGTATTGGACAACTGAGAGGACAAAAACCAAAGCTGGAGAGCCCAGGACTCCACCCATCAGTGTTGACTCCCTCGCAGCTCCAGCACCAGGAGCTCACCCAGGAGACAGAGGGGATTTCTGCCCACTCTAGGCCATGGTTGGTGCCTTTTGCTTTCCAGACGTGCCCTGCTTGGTGTTTCCCAACCTACACCGCCCTCAGCCCCTCCACCCTGCCTGGCAGCAGTTGGTTTCCATCCCTCTTCCTCCTCTCCAAGGTTCTCACAAGGACTCTTCTCATTTTGGGCGTGATAAGGAGGAATTGTTGTCAAGTATTTGTTGGAACTACATCCTGCCCTGGCCCTTCCATAGTTCCATGTCACACAGGAGGTGGGGTCAGAGACTTCAGCAAGAAATACTTTCTGTCATTAACAAAACTCAGGTTCTGGAGCTGTCTTTTCCCAACATTCCCACAGAGATCCTACCACCATCCTCCACTCACCTGTGGCTACCACACCTTTTACAAAGTGCAAGGAACATTTTGGCCTCGGCCCAAAATTGCAGTTTATTGAGCAGTAACAGGAATATAACAGGCTACAGAGGGAGGAGGAAGTGGGTTTGATCCCTTTCAGGAAAAGATATTGAGAGGACCAAGCTGGAGTGAAACCAGAGTAGCTTTTACTTTCTTGTGTGTTTGGACTGTTGTTATCTTTGCCAGGACACATCCCACCAGCTCCACAGCACAGGGATAAGTCACTCTGGCTCGTGCCAAGCTGCAGGAAGAACTTGTCACAGATTTCTGTTGTAAGGCCTTGGGCTTTCTGGACTAAGGGCAAAAAAATGATGGGAAAACAGCTCTCTCCATTTCTATATCCCATATTGGAGCAAAACCTGGCACAGGGCATTTTAGACAAGCCTGGTTTGGGGTGAAGGGCAGCTGTTTCTGCTTCCCTCAGGGGCACCCTGACATTAGGAGATTTTCTCTGGAAACTGAAAGATGTCTTATTTTAAACAACAACAACAACAAAAATAATTGGAGAGCAAGAATCAGCTGCCAATCCAGTGCCCTGGATCTTTCTGTGGGGATTGCAAAATTTGAAAGGAGGGTCCAAACCATGTCCTGGTAAAACAGTGCGTGGTTCTACAGGCCAAACCAGCAGCCGGTGTGATTTGGAATCAGCCTCTGGATAACTCACTTCACTTGGCTTTGTGATATTGGGTGATTTCACAGATCTGGGACATCTTCTCCTGAAGTTTTTCTCTTGCTGGGCTCCATCCCGCTGGAAAGGCTTCGTGCAAATTAAGCTGAGTAGAGGACAGCAACAGTGCAGGCAGTAAGAGCACAAACCCAGTAAAAAATTATAATAAATCCTAGCATCTTCCCAGCATCTTCTGGGGAATCCTCAGTGTTCAGCATTTAAAGTCACCAGAATCTTCTTCTAGAGGAGATAAAAAGCAATGTGTTAACAGAGAAGGACCTGCCACAGCTGTGGATTCATTTCCACAGGTTAAGCTGGAAAAGAGGGATTGATAACTGGAATTATGAGAGAGTGGCAGGGCCTGACTGTCAGTGAAGAAAGGATGATATTTTGTTAGCAAAAGACACGGCACTGGAACAGTCTGTCTTTCCCAGGGGACA